TATAAAAATATTTTTAAAGAAAAGGCCCTCCCCAACTTAGGTATGGATGGTGATGCTCGGAGAGCATGGCCTGGAAGGAAATAGCAAAAAAGGAAGTTGTCGATAGCTTCTGTGGGGTGGGCTGTAGCTGAAAGGGGCAAAGGAGGCTAGAGAAAGGGAGTGGACTGGAATCCAGGATCAGCTGTGCTGGTACGACATTCTTGGCAGCAGATGGCTGAAGTTCCTGTAAGAGTACAGCCTTTCTGGCTATATTCCACTGTAAGTCATTAGGGGTGCTCTCGTTCCTACACCTACTGTACAAGTCTGTTACACCCATGGCCTAGGGTTTGTGGCCTTTGTGGAGAGAAGATGTGAGGGTGGAGTCTGCCGTGGGGTGAGGATGTGCAAGAGAGGGAGGCACATGCAGGCCAGCCAGGATCTGTTTATTTTGCTAATTCAGCAGAAGTGGGAACTTGAAGCCAACCCACCCCTCTTATCTCACCCTACCCTTAAAGGAGTGGAGGGAGGCTGGATCCCAGCTCTCAAAAGACAGGCTGATCCCAACTGCATCATAATGGTAATATAATTTCATATAGCCCACAATCATTGTGTTCATGGTGTTTGCAGCACATCAAGGAGATCTTTCCATGCAATCATCGTAAATACCACCGTCTTCCAAAATGAGCATGTAGTTTTCCTACTGTGGGACTGTACTGTGACTAATTTAATTACATAATGATGGAGTTCTTAGGAATTTAGAAATTTTTTACTTTTACTAATAAAATTAGACTGAATGTTCTTGAATCTAATTTTTGCCTGTCTGATGATCTCTTTAATATAAACTTCTTGAAGTAGGATGGCTGGTTTATAGCTTATGCACATATAATACAGCAGATTGTGCTTTAGAAAGGATGTACCAATTTCTACTCTTACCAGCAATGTCTGCCAGTGCATGTGGCCAGGACTTGTTGGGGAGACATCATGAATGCAGGAACACATCTCCTCTCAACATTGATGTTCGGTCCAAGAACAAGAGCTGTATGCTAGAGGGAAATCAATCCGTTGTTCAAAAGTTCTGACTAAGCAGTGTGAACCAAGTTTACTTTTTCACCTTCCTAAATAACACAATATAAAACAGTGGATCCCTTATGGATGGTCTTATAGATGATCCAAATGGCAGTCTAGTGGACAGTCTAATCATCTTATGGAAAAAGATGTATATAATAACATAATGTTGCTCATACAAGATTAATGTGTGCAGAGTGTATATTGCAACTCTGGAGTTTGCCTTTCATATTATATCTTTGAAAATGGCATCCTTTGAACATGGCACATGTGTTTAGCCCTTGACTTAGCTTTGGGTCTAGTTTACATTTTAACTGCATTATGTGGTTAGATAACTCAGAAGTTATTGGTGACCCTGCTGTTGGAGTGCTTTTATTAATACAATGCATGCAGAAATAATTTAGAGACAAATAGAAGTGAAAGAATAATAAATTTTTATAAAAGTTCAATATCTACACTTGAAATAAAATTGGTATTATACTAATTACAGAAGATTTAAATAAAACTATTTGCCTTTAGTGGAGAATTCAGGACTGCTGCAACCCAAGCTCTATCCTCGGTCAAATTAAGCAACTATCAAGCAGTATTTTCTTTTCTTCTTCTTTTCCTTTTCTTTTAAAAATTATGAAATGTAACCCATATAGAAAAGTGTATAAAATATAAACATACAGGTTAGCTAAAAGAATTTAATGTGAACAGTGTGTGCCCATCAAGAAATATAATAAGTCATACAATTTTCAATTTTTACCTTTCCTTAATATAATTTCTCTTGTGGGAAAAGTGATATAGCCATACGTGTAGATGCAGTAAGAAGGCTTAAACAGTCACAAATGACTAGAGTAGCAGAAGCAGGAATGGAGAGGGAAACTGGGGGCCTAGAGGGCTAGGAACAGTGGTGGGGATAGGGTGAGAAGCCAGGTCATCCTTGCATGCATTTTTGGTACTATTTCTCTGCTTTTATGTACCATTTTATTTCTCCTTAATATGAACATGGATGAGAGGAGAAAGCTTACTGTTCTCCAGCCAGAGAAGGAAAAAGAAAACATGGCTGTGTGCATTCACATTTATTGAAGATGCATTCAATAATTCCCTGGTTCTGTGTAGCTCTGCAGAATTCTCATTAAAAAGCTAGATATTCAACAGAGCAATTTTTTAAATCAGTTGAATTTAAAGGATCCAAACTGGCTCGTATAGTATTATGTTTTCCATTGTCTTTGTGCATTTAGTCTGTTGATAATATTTTTTTCTTTGATTAAACAGATTGCTGAGCTGAGTGAAATAGAATACATTGAAAATCTACCTATCCTTCGAATTCTCAATCTTCTGAAAAATCCAATTCAGGTGAGAGATCATTTATATGGGGGAGGGGGAGAGAGGAAGACTATCCTGGAATTCTTCTTCAAGAAGTACTTTTGGTAAAGAATACCAGGAATGTGAATACAGCCTATTTATCTTACTTATCTCTTAGGAAACAACTAGAAGCGTTTACTAGTACCTAAATGATTTGTTTTTTAGAAATAAGATCTTTTTTTCATAAATGACACGTTGTCACACCATTGCCAATGAAGTAAAGCCTGACACTGAATATCATTTACCTGTTCTGCTGGTCATTTGTGTCTCATCCCGGGTAGTACTAGCGATTACAGGAAGGAGCTAATGGGATTGTAGAGCAACGTTCCTTTACATTAGAGAATGCAAGATGCCGAAGGTGTAGACAGAACATGGTTTCTATTTTATAACAGGGGACAGAAAGTCTAAGATTAGATATCTGAAGTAATTTTCCTGGATATAGCCATGAAATTGGTGAGGTTGTAAAGTAATTATAGAACAAAATATTTCCTAAGGGTTCTTAACCTTTGGGATTTAAGGATCGAGGACTGTTTTTCGGGTCTCTCTCTTTCTCTCCATCCGTAGATCCTTTCTCTGGCCTCCTCCCCCTCCTTGTCCATCTGTCCTTCATTCCATTTTCTACCCATATCCTTCCCATACATTTCTACAGACCCCGGCTTTGTATGTATCTCTAAGTACATTTTTTTTGTGTGTGTGTATCTTGATGTACATGTTTGGACAGGCAAATAAAAAAAAAGAAAGAAAAATTTAAAAATAAAAACGGTCCTTGTTACGAGAGTAGTGGCAGGCAATTTAAAAGCATCTCTGGGAAAGTAAGGAGCAGGGTTTACAACGGCCACCACACCCAGTTTCTGATCCATAAAGAGTGTGCATAAATAAGCATCACAAACCCACTGACTCGTGTTAACTTGCTTATATCACAAAACCTTCCCCCCAGCATTACACATGGAAGTACACAAAAGATACCTTTGTATATTCACGTCATGTGAATTTACTCATCTATAAAAGGCATCATCCACTAATGGCTTTCCCTTCAAAGAGACATAGCTTCTTGATACAAAAAACTAATT